AACAACAAGAGAGGGCTGCACAACAAGAGAAAAAGGTTGAGCAACAGGATAGTCTTATGGCTATGATGCAAAGGCGAATGAAAAAAATGGAGAAGCTTATGCGAAGGTTTCCTGAGGTATTATTAGATACTAAGGATGACGACGAGACTCAGCCCCTATCTCAAGACCTAGGTGATGACCATGATCTTGCAGGTCATCCACCAGCATGACTTTTGTATCTTGTTTGGATGTATATGACATAGACTATTGTACATAGACTCTTTTGATTAGTATATGACATAGACTTTTGTATATGTATGTCCCTTTTGATTAGTATATGTATTGGACATTAATAGATATAGGACTCTTTTGATTAGTCTATAACAGGGACTTTTGTATATGTATGTCCCTTTGATTAGTATATGACATGAACTTTTGTATATGTATATCCCTCTTGATTAGTATATGTCTTGGACATTTATAGATGTAGGACTCTTTTGATTAGTATATGATAGTGCCTTTTGTATATGTATGTCCCTTTTGATTAGTATATGTCTTGGACATATATATATATATATATATATATATATATATATATATATATATATATATATATAGGTCTCTTTTGATTACTATATGACAGAGAATTTTGTATATGCATGTCTCTTTTGATTAGTATATATCTTGGACATTTATACATATAAGACTCTTTTGATTAGTATATGTCAGAGACTTTTGTATATGTATGTTTCTTCTGATTAGCATATGTCTTGGACAATTATACATATAAGTCTCTTTTGAACGAGACTTTTGTATATATAAGACTCTTTTCATTAGTTTATAACATGAACTTTTGCACACATAATTATATTAAGATCATATGATTTTGATATGTTATTTACTTTAATTATATTTGTTTATCAGATGCAAAACATCAATGAGTATTAATTTTTAGAGATAAATTAAAAAGAAAATCAACAAAAAAGCAATTTCATTGAAAACTGAGGCAATTGTTTTCGACAGAATTTGTTTTTCATCGAAAATTATTACAAGATTTTTCGACTGAATTTTATTCTTTTTTCGTTGAAAAATTTCGACGGAATTTATTTTTCATCGAAAATGAATGCAAGATTTTTCGACGAAATTTTATTCATTTTATGTCGAAAATTTTTGACGGAATTATTTTTCCGTCGAAATTTTCCACAGAAATTATTCCGTCAAAAATTTTCTACTATTTAATTCTGTCGAAATTTTTTTACGGAATCTCTAATTCTATCGAAAAAATTATTACCCACGAAAAGATATTCAACGGCTTCATTTTCGTTGATAGTTCCGTCGAAAATTTTTATTTTTGACGGTATTTTAACCATTTTTTACGAAAAATTTTCGTCGAAAAAGTTTCATTTTTTAGTAGTATTGTTCAGTGTTTTAAAACCCCACCCCACCCCTGGGTTGACCCGGGTCAACCCTGACCTCTCCCCTTTGAGGGTTGGGGTCACAAGTTGGACCCTATATGCACATCGACCCCTCCGATCCCGAAAACCCCACTGGGTTTCAGTGACTCCCGGGTCAGAGGGGTCAAAGGGGGTCACTGCATTTTTTTTTAAAGAAAATTCCATGAAACAACGTCATTTTAGTAAAAAATAAAAATAAAAATACTTGCAAACCTAAATCTAATCGTTCTCTTTTCTCCCAACGACCTAGACTTGTGGTATCTTGATACTTTGGTATCATCAGAATATGAGTTTTGTACTTTGATATCTTGATATTTTAATTAGGTTATATAATATTGACTTGTGGTTATAATTGGTGAATTATATTAAATATGTTTTGAATCTTTAATGATTGATGATTTGTTTTTTAATATTTTCATATAGGATATATACATTTATATTTTTTTAATATATAAAACCGGGTCAGCATAATGATTCTGTAACCCTCCGATTGAATCCATGACCCCTGACCTCGGCCGGTTCGATGGTCGGGCCAGATTTTTAAACACTGGTATTGTTCCCATATTGGCTCACTTTTCCTAATAATTTGAGAAGTTCATAACCTACACATGCTCCTCTATTCACTGAATCGAAACCTTTCATGGTAATGAATTCGTAAAATTAATGATTCACGTGCAGAGAGCTGCTATGAAAGAGTCGATGGTGGGAAGGACCTCGGTTCGAATCCCATCAACACCATCTGCAAAGGGGCATAAGTATCGTAATCTTTGGACTCGCATCCGGATTCTGGATTAGTCTCATAGGCGGCTCAAAGAGTCGAACCCGTGGGAATACCAAAAAATTCTGATTCGTCTCAAAAAGATAATTAAGATCAGTAGAGGTGCTATCAAGCTGCTGGCATATGAATATTCATATTTAATAAAATGATTAAACAATGGAAAAATAATAAAAGCAATTTAATTTGTACAAACTAATCAATTAATCCATTGTCAGATAATTTATGTCACATGTACGCAAGAGTTGATACGGTTCACACGTCAACAACACAAACTAGTCCGCAAGGATCTGCATTCAGCTTCTGTTTTTTCAATACTAAAAAGTTACAAATAACCCAAACAGCTTGGCAAGTCCAGGATAATACTCAATCATACTAGCAGTAGATTTTAAGCAATCATAACGTGCGGTTATTTGAAGAATTGGGCTTAGTGAAGAATATTGAGCCGTGTTAGAATTGGTTACGAAAAAGGACTTGATTACTTTTCAATTGATAGCTATTTTCAAGGGGTATACATAAAAACGAGATATCATATTTTCCCGTATTGATTGGACTCAGCCATATATATATATATATATATATATATATAGATAGGATCTTTTGATACCTCATCTGAGAGTCATTAAATAAAAAAAAAAATCAATGATGTCACATGCTTACAAATCAGAGTCATTGCATTTTTTTATTTAATGACTCTCATAACGATCCCCATATTTAATGTAAAAGCAATCAATTTCACCGTTAGATCGATTATGTTGATCTAATGGTTATGTTTATTTCTATCTTTGTATGGTTATGATTCCCATATTTAATGTAAAAACATTAAATATGAAAAATTATAACGATACAAAGATGAAAATAAATATAAAGTGTTAAATATGGAGAATCATAATCATACAAAGATAAAAATAAATATAACCGTTGGATCAACATAATCGATCTAACAGTGAAATTGATTCGTAATAAGATTGGTAATAACCCTAATTGGTTGTTACAATATCCTACCCCAAAATTAAATTGGAAAAACTTGAATTTTTAAAGAAATATATTTTTATATTTTTACATCATATTTTAAGGGTGGACACTTGCCCCCTTTCTCCTTAAGGTAGATCTGCCTCTGTTCATCATCATTACCAATGTAGTATATTGTATTGTAACAAACTATATATAATCTCGTACTTAGCTATCAAGCAATGAATGCATTGGCTACCTTAGAGCCCCAGCTTTTGGTGAATTCTCCTCTTGAGTTCATTATATATAGTGCCACGTTTGATTTTTATCGTTTTCATTTTTCCTTCAAAGTGTGCATCACTGGACCTTCAAATTGCCTCCCATTGTTGTAGATAAGTGTAACATAAGTGTTTGAACTTAAGCTCATCTTTCACACGAAATTGATATTAGGGTTTGGTTAGGGTTCAGATTTTTGAAAAAAACTTAGAATATGTAAGTGTAATGACAATGATTTCACAAGATTAAGGGTTTAGAGATGCCAGGATGAAATACAATTTTGATGAGTTGGAATAGAGATTAAAAACGAGTGAGATTTTGGGGTAGAAAATGAGTAAATAAAAATTGAGGCTGAAACCCACTTATATTGGGACTTCTGTCTATGAGTTACTCGAGTACAAGCGCTTCATACTCAAGTAACTAGTTCCATACTCGAGTATCATGGTGACAAACTCGAGTAGAAAATCATGACACATGCCTTCAGCTTTATCCCACAAAATTTACTCGGGTGTGTTAGTTACGTACTCGAGTATGAAATTCAATCAACGATCAAACAGGAATAGATTTGTGTGATGATTTAATAAAAGGTTAGAATTTTTATATAGTTTAAAACGGGGGCATATTGATCATATTTATTTTTATTAGGGGAACAATGGTCAAAATTCCGTAATATAAATGTATTAAATGATACTTGCCACTAATTAGAGGTGACAAAACGAGCTCGGTTTATTGGGCTAGTCTGCCAAACGGGGAAGGGTGAGCTGAGTTTTTCAAACCCACCAATTCGTCGGGTTGAATTTTTTTTATTTTTTTAGTGTAAAATGTTATAGGTCCGGCGTTACACTTGGGCAGGGCGGGACAAACAGCTCGTTGTGCCACCTCTACTCCAACCTAAGCCGTTAATTAAAAGTCTTCCGTATTATAAATGTTTGAAATGATACTTTCTTGCTCGTACCTAAGCCGTTAAAAGTCATCTGTGTTATAAATGCATGAAATGACACTTACTAATAGTTCGAAATCATTGATGTTAATGTTGAAATAATGCACAAATTCGGTATGCAAATAGCCGCACAAATACGGTACGCAAATAGCACCACTAATAACTGTATGGCATGTGACATGTTGATTTGTTCAATGACAATAACGAAGAGTTTGGCTTGGAAAACGAAAAAGTTGCGCTTCTAAGATATTATCTTTAGCAGGCTTGTAAATTAAAAATTGATACTATTGAAAATAATATATTTCTTCTGTTTTAAAATAATTGTCATTTTTAGAATTGTTAGTTTGTTTCAAAATTATTTGTCACTTTAGAGAGTTAAAAAAGTACTTTTTTTTTCTTAAATTTTTTTTCCCCTTATCTTTACACATCTCCACTAAAGGGAATAAAATAAAAATTAAAAAAGTGAGAAGATAATATAACGATAAAAATCAACTTATATTTTTAAAATTTTATAACAACATTTAACGACTTTTTAACTCTTGAGCAATGGTACCCTCATCCACCCCGACCGTGAACCCTATAAATGTCCATTGCCACTTTCACAAAAAAATATAGAGACAAAAAAATGGAGCTGTTGTATCTCTCCGTTCTGCTTCTGATTATTGTCATCTTCTTTATCCTTTTTTACAGGCACATGTCTCCGTCCATGAACCCCAACTTGCCACCGGGAAGGATGGGGTATCCGGTGATCGGCGAGAGCCTTGAATTCCTGTCCACAGGGAAGAAAGGTCATCCAGAGAAGTTCATATATGAACGCATCAAGAAGTACTCTTCCCAAGTTTTCAAGACCTCAATCATTGGGGAACCCACAGTTATGATATGTGGATCCGCAAGCAACAAGTTCTTGTTTTCTAACGAGAACAAGCTCGTTATGTCATGGTGGCCAAACAACGTCAACAAGGTATTCCCAACGTCGCTTGAAACAAGCTCTAAGGAAGAAGCTTTGAAGATGAGAAAGATATTGCCTCAGCTTCTGAACCCACAAGCTCTCCAACGTTATATTGGCACTATGGATACCATTGCTCAAAGGCACTTTGCTTCCGATTGGGAAAACAAGACGCAAGTCGCCGTCTACCCCTTGGCCAAGAGGTAAATCATGAAAAAAAAGTTAAAAGTCAAAAACTTCGTGCTTTTTTTTAAGCTCTTATTAATTTTTCTTCAAATAAAATTTGAGTTTCTAAATAATTTTTAAGTTAAAAGTTTTATGTAATCACTAAATAATTTTTAAGCTTTTTTTTTTGTAGCTTTAATTTAAAATTGTACTGTAGCTTTTAACTTAAAAAAAGAGATGATCCAAACATGTTGCTATTAACACTGTATTCTCATGCCTCATGTGTTAAGAACCCCCATGTGTTAAGAACCTTGAGATCACTACCCCAAAAACTAGCTCAAAGAGAGAGTGTCAAAGCCTTATAAACCTCACATGTACAATCAATGTGAGACTATATTTTTCAACACGCCCCCTCACACAAGAGCTCACTGGGCTTGAAAGGTGGCGGTGTGATTTCGAAGGCTCTGATACCATGTTAACAACTTTGAGGTCTCCACCCCAAAAGCTAGCTCAAAGGGTGGGAGTGCCTAAGGCCTTATAAACCTCACATTAACTGCCCATACAACCAATGTGAGACTATATTTATCAAGAACATGATTATGATAACTATGCTTGAGAACTTTGAGTTGACTTAAAACCTAATATAGTTGACTCAAAACTTTCAAAGACGGAACCTATGCTCTTTATTTAGTTAGTCAATTTGCCTTTGCTTACGCGTATTCATTTATTTTTTGTTTTCGCCAACACTATCAACATAGGTATACATTCTGGTTGGCTTGCTGTTTGTTCATAAGCGTTGAGGATCCAAACCACGTAGCAAAATTTGCGGAACCTTTCAATCTATTGGCTTCAGGAATCATTTCAATGCCAATTGACTTGCCAGGAACACCGTTCAACAGAGCAATAAAGGCCTCGAAGTTCATTAGGAAGGAACTGTTGAAGATCATAAAGCAGAGAAAGTTGGATTTGGCTGAAGGGAAGGCCTCAACAACACAAGACATATTGTCTCGCATGTTAATGTCATGCGATGAGAATGGACAATATATCGGTGAACATAATATTGCAGACAAGATTCTTGGCTTGTTGATTGCTGGCCATGACACTGCAAGTTCTGCATGCACTTCCATTGTCAAATACCTTGCCGATCCAAATATTTATCAGCGAGTCTATCAGGGTAAGTAAGTGAGTCTCTAAATTTTTTCTTCCACTTGATTTCTTAATTTATTTGTTAAAGTCCGATACTAACTTAATTATGTCAGAGAAATATAATATAAATTCTTTGACGTGACTTTACATAAGTTCTTTGCTAAAAAGCTCCTCCATTAATTACTAATTTTTAATATGGTGCGGTGAAATTTGAATTCGTTCTCACGGAGGCTCTAATAATTCAAAGCATTTCAACCTAAAACATAGGTGTAGGTATGTACAAAAAAATAAAAAATTAAAACATAGTTGAAGGCACATTAATTTTATAATTTACATTTCACTGACAAATTCATACCCAATATTTAATGAGGAGATATTCCTCGTATTTAGTATTACGTGCTGGCCACTATTTACTTCAAACTTTTATACACCAAGAGACAGAAAGAAACGGAGAGAGGCTTAGAGTAATAGACACATGCAAAAAATAGTTTTTGTACATTAATTATAATATTCATACCCAAAAAAATGATTTATGTATTTGTTAGTATTTTGCATAAGATTTAAAAGCACGATTATACGTTTACCCAAAAAAAAAAAAAAGCACGATTATACAGCCGAAAAACAATAACAAGAAATTTGAAGGTAATTGTAGTTTTATAATATGAAGTGTTAAGAACTACTCATTTATCGAAGAATTGAAAAACATGTCAATTATTCTGTAATTTTTTGTATTCATTTAGTATTAATTTTTTTAATAATTAAATCAACTCAAATAAAAAACTAGTGAAATAAAAATATTGTAAAGATGGCCGCGAGAAAAAATTAATGGAACATGCCTGTTAATCCTCTTGTACATTAGATTCAAAGTTGTGTGGTGTCCCAATAAACATGATTGAAAGTAGTCTCGATCGATCGATGATGAATTATATATATATATATATATATAACACTTCTCATTAAATCTCAATTAATAGGACAGGTTGAAGGTAATTTTTGTACATAACCTTATCACGGTTAGTCAAAATAATTATTTTGATTTAAAAGTTTAACATCCGTTCAACGTTAATTAGTAAAACACATAAATCTTAAATAACTCATGTAAACAAACAACCAAAAAAGAAATATGAAAATATATTGTATATATATATGTGTGTAATAAACAGGCTAGCTAGCCGGCCGCTCAGCATCCAGCCTACATTAAACTTGGCCTACAATATTTAATAAAATGGAAAAAACTCAAACCTAAAAGAAATTCTATTTTAAAAAATCCATAGACCTATATTTAAAAAGGTTTGATCTATAAACTTAAACAACCTATATCATATTATTTCTTGTAATACTTGATACGTTTAAATAAGGTAATAAGTTGATACTAAAAAAAAAAAAGGTAATAAATTAATGTCATGTCATGTCTTTTGAATATTAAAAAATAGATCAGATCAAGCTTATAATCACTATATAAGCGTTAAGCATTTTCAATCACCAGTGAGTACAAAATTTTAAGACAAATGTTAAAAGACAAAGAACTTTACGCTAATACTGTATTAAAATTTTCATTTTGGTAAGTTAATTAGTCCTTTGAGAAACATTAATCTTAACTAAGGTTTGCTAGAAAGTATCTAACGTCATTGGTTACTCAATTAAGAGTGTGAAGTTTTAGCTGTGAACCAGATCGATTGTGGTTCATAAATGTACACTTGAAGGGTGTAATATGTTAATATATGGGTGTTCATAATGACAATGGTAGAGACCAAGACCTTAATCAAGCTTCCCATGGTGCTGTAGATAAAAAAAGGTGGGGAGGTGGGGGGGGGGGCGGGGGTGAAGATGGCCAAGGTAACTATCCATTGTAGCATAGTAACAACATGAAGGTTGCATAGAAAAGAAAATGTCCCTTCAATGTGTGAAGAGAATATTTAGAGAGATATCTCCTAGCCAGGCATGCTGAAACCCTATATGTGTACAGGGACAACAGTGCCAGGGGGAAAAGAAGAGAGATCTCATGTTGCCCTCTAGAAGGATCTAGAAGGGGCTCTTAAGAGTTGTCCCAATCGGGTGGGCCAGCCAAAAATAGATGAAAAGTTAAGGCTCTGTTTGATTACTGTTTTTAAAAACAATTTTTTAGTTCTCAGAAAAAAAAATAAAAAAACTCGTTTGGCAAGGTCTGTTTTGTAAAAAAGTTTTAAAAAATGTAACTATTTTTTTGTTTTTAGAATCAAATTTAGAGAATGTGTCTGAGTTGTTTTTGTTTTCTGTTTTAGTTTTTAACTTTCAAAACATAAAAAAAAAAACAACTGTTTTTATAATTATTCTACAAAACATTTTTAAAAACAAAAAAACCAAAACACAATGACCCTAAGTTTTTGAGTTTCCAATGTACAGCCTTCGTTTCAAAATAATTTTATATAAGATTTGTACAAGAATGAAAAAGTCAAAAAATAATCCCAACTTAATTTTGAAAAATATAAGTCCATTTTCTTATTTCTCTCTCACTCCATTAGAGTTATATCATTCTATTCAGTGGAGATAAAAAATAAAGTTTGAAAAAATATTTAATCATATCTTGATTTTCCAAAATGTTAAGCAATTTAAACAAACTAAAACTTGCAAAAGTAACAATTAGGCTTTGACTTTTCTTTTCTAGTTTTCTTGTTGGAAATTTATTGTAGAAAACATTGTACGTATTGTACCTGTTCCTTTCTACGAATCAGCGTGAAATTGCATGTACAATCAAAGTACTTATTTTTCCCCTATTTTCTCATCCCTCATTTTCATTAAATGACTACCGTGATTATTTATGATATTATATACTTATCTTTTTTCCTTTCCCTGCCATTTGTTATAAGAGCAAATGGAAATTGCAAAATCAAAATCTCCAGGAGAGTTGTTGAATTGGCGTGACATGGAGAAGATGAAATACTCGTGGAATGTAGCTTGTGAAGCAATGAGATTAGCCCCTCCAGTCCGTGGAGCTTTCCGAGAAGCCATCAATGACTTTATCTTCAATGGATTCTCAATTCCAAAAGGCTGGAAGGTAAATTACATTAAAACTTTCATAAAATTTATAAGCACACATATATGCATGCTGATCTTCATCAATTTTTTGCGGTACATTTATGGTTAGAATTTGTTAAATATTTATCCTTGCAAGTTCGGGAACAACCTCTTTGTAAATATATAAGGATAATGTTGTATACAATGATTTTTTTCACCCTGTACTCGTTATAAAATTTATCCATCAATGATTTTATCCATCATAACATGAAAAACATTATCCTTGTATGCATCCTTAGTCCTTGTTGGGGTATATTGGAGAGTTTGAACATTTTTATCTTTGCACTTAATACGTGTTTTAATTGTCCCCCAAGAATTTTGGTTATCTTTTCATCTTAGCAAAAGAAGAAAATACTAGTTAGGCGAAAATGCTAAGGCAAGTTCATATGGGATTGTTATAGTAGGTTTGAAGTTATTTAATTGTTTTGTTGCTCAAATAGTTGTATTGGAGTGCAAGTTCAACACATATGGATCCAAAGTGTTTTCCGGAGCCAGAGAAATTCGACGCGAGTAGATTTGAAGGAAAAGGACCAGCTCCTTATACTTATGTGCCATTCGGTGGAGGACCAAGGATGTGCCCTGGAGTAGAGTATGCACGATTGGAAATATTAGTTTTCATGCACAACTTAGTGAAGAGGTTCAAGTGGGATAAGATTATTCCTAATGAGAAGATTGTTGTTGATCCAATGGCTTTTCCTGCCAAAGGCCTCCCTATTCGTCTTTATCCTCACCAATCGTGAAAACGATTATATTTGAACGTTTGGACCAAAATCAACATTTAAAAGTAGCATAAAATTTAAGCCCAAATGTTGTCTCTCCTTTTTGTATTTTTGGTTTTTTTCCCCTTTTTAATGTTATCCTGATATCTTTTTGTTGCTTTTCATTTTTTTTGTTTTAATTTGTAACAACCTAGCTTTGTCGTGCTTATATGGTATTTAAAAATAAGATCACCTCTCAGGAATACTCCTGTATATTATCCGGAGCATGTGTAGGGTGAAATTCTAACAATGAAATTCTAACAATATGGAGATTAAATATATTAGTTGTCAGAGAGATAGCAGTTCCATAATATCCGGATTTGGTTGAGCCCCCCTATTGGAAAAGAGTACTTAATTAATTGCTTTTAAATTAGGAGTTTGCATTTATCATTTAACATGACACAAAAAAGTTTTCAACACACAAAATATTTTGTGGGGTCCACATTTTTTGAAGCAAAAAAAAAAAATTACGGCACACAAAACAAATCTCTATAACGTTACACAATCATTTTTCCTACAACATAACTCTTATAAAATCCTTTAAATTAATAGATATTTGAAAACGGCGTTAGAAAAATAGATAAAATTGTTTTCCTCTTGTTTACACTACGCGTCGTTCAACAGTATGCATCGACAATAAATGAATCGAAAGATACTTATAATTAATAACTTTTTTAAAGGGGTTAATTACCTCTTAACGTATAGACCAAAGTTTCCTTGCACATTCTATGGCAATAAGTCGTCTCGTCTGTGTTATTAAATGCATAAAAATAATGTTTACACACTACTAATCAATACACAAAGTTTGGTGCGCAGAAAACACTACTAATTCAACATCCTTAAAATAAGTAATGCACACATTTTGGTGCGCAAATCACACTACTAATGGCTGTATTGCATGCGTCAGGGCATGCCTAATCGCGGGTGATGACGTGTTCCAACACAAGGAGGTTTTCTTCAATAACACAGACAGTTTGACTTTGAGAATAAAAAAAGAAGGGTTTGTGGTTATAAATTTCAAGAAACCTAAGACCTATGCTCATTACCCTCTTTCATACAAAATAGAGAAAGAAAAATGGAGCTTTTGTATCTCACCATTCTGCTTATGTTTGTTGTCACTCTCTTGATCCTTTTTTACATGCATAAGTCTCCGTTCACTGACCCCAACCTTCCACCAGGAAAGATGGGGTATCCGGTGATCGGCGAGAGCCTTGAATTCCTGTCCACCGGGTGGAAAGGTCATCCAGAAAAGTTCATATATGAACGTATCAAGAAGTACTCTTCCCAAGTTTTCAAGACTTCAATCATTGGGGAACCCACAGTTATGTTCTGTGGTTCTGCATGCAACAAGTTCTTGTTTTCTAACGAGAACAAGCTCGTTGTGTCATGGTGGCCTGACAACGTTAACAAGATATTCCCAACTTCGCTTGAAACAAGTTCTAAGGAAGAAGCTAAAAAGATGAGAAAGATATTCCCTCAGCTTCTGAATCCTCAAGCTCTCCAACGTTATATTGGCATTATGGACACCATTGCCCAAAGGCACTTTGCTTCCGACTGGGAGAACAAGACGCATGTCACCGTATATCTCTTGGCCAAGAGGTGATTATTCATTATTAATATTTCTTCGGATTAAATTTTCTCGTAAAATTATTTCTGTACAAAACTCATGTGGGTCCATATAAGGAGAAGAAAAAAAAATTAAGTACCTTTTGGGTCCTAAAAAAAAAATTACTAGGCCGATTTTAATCCATAATAAAAAACGTCGATATGTGATTCTTCTAAAATTCAAAATAGACATAGTTAGTTCACATCGGGATTTCCCTAAAATTCAAAGAAGATCCAATTTAGTCACTCAGAAAGACTAACATGAGATTAAATTGGGTCCGTGATAATTTGTAAAAAAAAAGTTTGTAAAAAAAAAGTTTATTACTAGTCAGACATAATGTAATTTGTAAATTTGTAAAAAAAAAAAGTTTGTAAACGGATCCTTCTCCATTCTTAACGGTGGAACCATAAATTTTTATAAAACAGGGCAAAATTCTAATTTGCATTTTTCATGTTACAATTATTTATTTGATAAAAAAATTCATAACTAAAGACTTATTATTGGAAATATATAAAATTATTAATATAGTCTTACATAAGGCATATTTGGTGCATAGTACAAAATAAGATCGGATAGATAGTATAAAAATAAATATTTCTGACAAAAATACTAGATAGGATAAAAATAAACATTTTTGACAAAAGTACTCTTTAATAGAAAAATTATATAAGTTTTTTAAATATGTCATATGATTATTAATTTTATTAAAATTCTATTGATCAGTGTGTCCAAAAATTTATAAAAATAAAAATCTCCAATATTTTAAAAAGTAATATATTGAAGAATTAATTTTTATTTTAATATATTGATATTAAAATAATATATTAATTTCTTGACAATTGTACTAGTTAGTTAATACATCAACCGTTTTATCAGCCGTAATCTCACTCCCTTTAGACCTGATTAAGTTATATATTATTTTGATGTATTAAAGGATTGATTTGTTGTATAAGCTTATATTATAAGATGATCACACCAAACAACTAAAAAAGTCATAACATATAGTATAAGTTTATACTATCAGATCTTATGAATCACATCAAACAGGCCCTTAGTGCCTTAAGATTTTAGGTTGAAGCAGTTCTTTACATAATATCAGAGTTAGAGTAATTAAGTGATTAATACGATCATCATCGCCCTTCACTTTGTAATAGAATTAAGTAAGTATAAGATAAACTAAAAATGATCCTATGCAATATCATGCTTCAACCCCAAAAACCTCTTAGATATATATTAGAAAGATATAAAAAAAGTTTAGGAGAATATATCTCTCCTGTAGTAAGAGAGACAATATTCTTCTTACAGATACATAAAAATAAGTGCCTCCTCTTTTCTTTTTCTTTTTTATTTACTGTGATGGGACGCATAACATCTTTGAGTCTGCAACCTAAGAAAAGATACCTCCTATTGCGCAGGAGAAAATTCAAACCCAAAAATTTATTATAGCCTCACCTAATGTCGTAAATTTTGATTTGGAGTGGTTACGTGTATATATATACGGGAAAGAGATTGCAACTATAAATTTCTATATGACGGAAAGAATTACTTATGAGTTTGGGCTCCACCTAGTCCCTCCCAGATTCCGATTGACTAAGCCGAATGGCTGTGAGGAGACATGTTACCCAATAATATGACATGCTTGACATAAGTATTTAAAAAAATGGAACCTCTACTCTTTGTTTTACTAATTAATTTTATAATATAGTTGACTCAAACTATTCAAAATGGAACCTAATACCTATGCTCTTTGTTTAATTAATTAATTGCCTCTGCCTAATTCTATGCATTAATTTTATTTCATGCCTTTATTTATTTTTTTGCGTGTTCGATGACGTACTCTCACCATAGGTATACCTTCTGGTTGGCTTGTCGTTTGTTCATGAGCGTTGAGGATCCAAACCACGTAGCAAAGTTTGCAGAACCTTTCAATCTGTTGCCCCCCGGAATCATGTCAATGCCCATAGACTTGCCAGGAACACCGTTCAACAAAGCAATAAGGGCCTCAAAGTTCATTAGGAAGGAGCTTTTAAAGATCATAAAGCAGAGAAAGTTGGATCTGGCTGAAGGGAAGGCCTTACCAACACAAGACATATTGTCTCACATGTTATTTTCATGCGATGAGACCGGACAACATATCGCTGAGCGTGATATTGCAGACAAGATTCTTGGCTTGTTGATTGCTGGCCATGACACTGCAAGTTCTGCATGCACTTCCATTGTCAAATACCTTGCCGATCCAAAGATTTATCAACGTGTCTATCAGGGTAAGTGAGACTCCTAATTTTATTCTACCTGCTTTATGACAACATCCTAAATACATATGAGTAATAAAGTATTTATAAGTTTATAAATTTGTTTTCAATTATTATATACTTACTTCATATACACATGCAAAAAAGAATTCTTGTACATTATTTTTAATTTCTATGCTAAGTAAAATACAGGATTTTCATTTTTGTAAATATTTTGTATTAAATTTAAGAGCACTGTTATACAGCCCAAAAACAATAACCATATTTTCTACAAAATAAATTCCTTTAAGGGTAATTATTGGATAAGATGAAGTGATTGAACTACTCATTAATCTAAGAATTAGAAAACACGTCAATTTATTATCTAATTTTTTACTGAATAATATTTCTTTAATAACTAAATAAACTCAAATAATTAAATCATTGGATGAAGACCCCACTTCGAGGTTTAAGGTTTTAACCAAATCGAGATTCGTGCTTATTTCCATCTCACTCCACATATGTCCAAGCAGAATAATAATCTATCAGCTGCTATGAGGGGAGATATTGATAAACCCAAAAAAAGGGGTCAACGGTGTGCCCATTATGTGTCATGTCATAGATAGCCATGTCGTTAACTCTCTTTTTTCCAGTAATTTGATGAGGATCTTGAACTTTTTTCAATTAGAAAAAATGAGAGATTTGACCACAACTAAAAAAATGAATTGTGCAATTAATAGCACATGTTCCTTTCTACAAGTCAGCGTGAAATTGTGCAATTAATCAAATTACTTATTTTCTCCCTGTTTTCCCATCTCTCATTTTCATTAAATGACTACCGTGATTGTTTATGATATTATATACTTATCTGTTTTTCTTATCCTTCAATTTGTTCAGAGCAAATGGAAATTGCAAAATCGAAATCTCCAGGTGAGTTACTGGATTGGCGTGACGTGGAGAAGATGAAATACTCGTGGAATGTTGCTTGTGAAGCAATGAGACTTGCCCCTCCACTCCCAGGAGCTTTCAGGGAAACTATCAATGATTTTGTCTTCAATGGATTCTCAATTCCTAAAGGCTGGAAGGTAAATTACATTGTTTTTACCTGTCGTAAAATTTATAAGCACAAATATATATTCATAATGATCTTCTTCTTTTTCAATTTTTTTACCAAATATTTATGTTTTTTTTTTGGAAAACATATTTATTGTTTTAATTGATGGCTTATGGTTAGAATTTGTCAAAGTATTTATCCATGAAAGTATAGTCCTAAATTTTTTTACTACATCCTTAATTAGTCTTGTTCATAGCATGATAAACAGGTACATCTGTTTTGTTTATCTCACAAGAATTTTGCCTGGTTTTTTAATCCTCCCGAAAGAAGTAAATCTAATATAGATGAAAA